TGGAGAATGCGAGGATTTCATGAGGTCAGATGGTAGGCCTAGCCACAAGTTGCCGATGAATCCCAAAAAAGTTGCCGATAAAAGTGTCTAAAAGTTGCCAAAAAGTTGCCGAAAAGTTGCTGAATTTCCAAAAAGTTGCCGAAAAGTTGCCAAAATTTTTCTGCTTTTCGTACCTTTTTTGGGTGTTAAAGATTAAAAATTCGCACATTGCTTCTTATCAAAACTTTATTTGTCAAAGTCCAATGATAATATCAGAGGTTCTTTCCATTTCACTTGATCAACAAATAGTCACTGTAATTGTCCGCCATCTTGAAAAACGTGCAACGTGATACCGCTGACCTCGTGATAAGGCATCACAAAAATCAACCCATGGGGGGGGGCCTAATTATTGTATTTTAGAATAAATTGAAGAAATGTCTATCAAAAACTGACCAATGTGGCTCAAAACGTGAAGAAAGTGGCTTCAAAGAACCTCAAAAAGCCCAAAGTCGCCGAAAATTCTAAACGTTGCCAAAATTCTTGAAAGTTGCCAAAAATATCAAAAGTTGCCGAGCAATTTGTGGCTAAGCCTAGTGAGTAAAGGAAAGAGGGGTGATTCAGAGGTTCAGTAGCAGGAATTATGACATATTTCGATGACCCCTGTGCGATTCAACCATTTCACCGTCAAAGAGAGCTCTGTGCCAACTATAATTCATGTTGAGACTGCCGATTAATGTTTTAGCAAACCAACCAAAACTCATAAGGTAGGTGTGGAAACTGAGTTATGCAGCAAAGCTCACAAAAATTTTGCCACACGCCCCGACACGCAGAACCTGAACCTCACACGATATCAAAATAACAGAAAACAGCTCCGAGTCGATGACATAGGAAAAGAAAATTACCTCCGCAGAATCATCGCGACGGCTACTTTCATCTCAGCCATTGCAAAATTCATTCCAATGCAGTTTCTGTTGAAATGAAATGTACCAACTCCGTGAAAAATTATATGATAGTTGTTAAACATATGAGATTAAATATATATGGACAATTGCAGCCATCAAAATCTATTTCTTGTCATAAAACCACTCGAAAGGCAAACGTGAAATAAGTAGCGTGAAACGTGAACGTGGGGAATCATTACGTATGCGCGTATTGTGATGTTGTCAAGGGTGTGCTGTGAAACCCCAATTCACTTGCAAATCTTATCAGGCCTACCTTGGTCCAGCAGAAAATGGTATGTAAGCATACGGCGATCGCTCCTCTTTATTTTCAACAGTAAATCGCAGTGGATCAAATGTCTGTGGGAAAAAATCGACTCAGTATTACTGAAATGATTCTGGTGATTACGACCATTTGAGAGTCTGTACTTAGGAACAACCCCAAACAAACTCGTAAAATGTGACACCGTAGAACTGGTGAATGAAAAACTGTCTAAATTACGCTTCAAAAATTGTAGCGCTACACCTTTAGCAGAATCTATCGTACAAGGCTTAGCTATGAATAGTAACAAAAACAACACCTTTTAGAAAAACTTTTCATTTACTTCACGGACTTTAGCTAGATAACCTTTTCTTCTGCAAACAAAAGTTTACAATTACAGAAAATGCAAAGATCATATAATTTGTTCGTCGCCGTCGTGATTTGCTTGAAGTATCTTACTGAGCACTGTCCAGTTGAGAGTAACAAACACCAAAGTTATTGCAATTGGTTAGCAAAACGGCAAAAATATGATTGGTTTTGGTTTTGCGTGACTGGCTGATATTATTAGCTGAACCAATCACAGCATTGTAAAGCAAACACAATGCAATCCCGGACTAGTGTTGACAATCAGTTGAACTAACTCTGATGTGTAACTGTTAGGTACCTCCGGATCTTCCCACACATGTGGATTGTGATGTAAAGCATATGCGTTGATCATGATCCAAGTTCCTGAAAATGAATACAAAAATATAAAGCGAAATGGCCACCGTAAAGAGTCTCAAAGCTTTAAGCTTTGAAATTCTTTACGGTGGCCAATTTAACGGCATTATCAACTCAGTTGATAGAACTGACCAAAACTAAATTGTTACTCCCACAAACGCAGCACCACAGTTTCTTTAGAAACTCACCCCCTTCCGAAAAATGTAAATACTGGCAACAACAATAACAACAAATGATGAAGAGGAAAGATAATGTCTAATGAAGTATGCGATTGCAAGTTTGTTCATCTGCTGATATACGTTCCACCCCTCCCCAAAAGGAATCACCTCACCCAAGAAAGACACGACAAAGAAGAAAGAGAGGTTTTCTCGGAAAACGACTGGTGAAAACTGCGATTGTAACCTAGCAAATCTGTTGATACACAGCCACAAAAAATTCACGTTGCCCGGCAGAGACTTCTGGATTTTCACTTTAAACCACCAAACGGGGCTACAAAGGAACAGGAATGGATGAATCTAGGTCCCTACCTTGAGGCACTAGTTTGCCAGCGATCTCATATGACTTGTCCAAGGTGCGACTGAACATTGGGAAAGGTGGATACAGCCTCATGCTCTCCTTGATTACAAGGGTCACACATCTGAGCTGAGACAGGTCATCCCTGATGAAGCAAATTGACAGCAACATAGCTTCAGAGCTATGTTTCATTTATCCCTTGTTTCATTTTAATCCCTGAGTATCGTGCAGTGTGTTTGGACTTTTACTTTTCACCTGGGTGAGGTGGTATAAGCGACCTGTTAGTGCAAACTACTCCGCGGTAAACGGCGGTGGATCTAGGGTGCTGAAGGGGGTAGCAACACTTAAAACGTTTCAGTTTATGAAAACAGTGAAGGGCTCTAGATTTGTGGACCACTTGGCGTCGCCTTAACATATCACGCCTTGGGTTTTAGAGTAAAAGTAAGAGTTTGTGCAATTGACGAAGTGGAAGTTGAAGATGGCTGGCAATTGACTAGGATTCCTTTTTCGGGTCTCCATGGACTGAGTTTCTGTCGATTCAAGTCCAGAGAAACACAGCTCATTAAAAAATCCAGTCATCTACGCCCAACATGTGTTGATAATTTCTAATGGCCGAACAGTTTCACTAAAGCATCTTTGAGCCAATCTCAAGCAAGCAAGGTAGGTTTATATTTCCCGTTTGAGAAGCCAATCAGAACACGGGGCTTGTCAAGTGAAGTAAAGCATACATAAGACAGTCATAACGAAAGTGAGAATGATTTGCGATTGAGTATCTCACCATTCAAGTTCGTTTTTGCCACTGCAAACTTCTTTAACTTCGTCCTGACATTTTTTTTGCCACTCAGGGTATAAGGCAAGGTTGTACAGTGTCCAAGAAATCGCTTTTTGGTAAAAAAGAGAAACGTCATCACATGATAAATGTGAACGAAAAGTCCGAACCTCTGTATTCTTATAAGTTTGGGCCATCAGAGCCATTATTTACAACTTATTTATAACTTATTTATAACTTAAATAGCCACTGTTATTAACGAACACTGAACCGAGAGCAGGTATTTCACAAGTGTTTCCTGATATCAGCTTTGTAAATAGAGAAGTCTTGAAGGCGTAGTCTAACTGATCTTTGCTAAGACCCTTGCATCCTGTTGTTGTTCTTGTTGTTGTTTTTTTTTTTCTTTTTGCCACCTACTTTCATATCTGGCCCATACAATCCATACTCCCTCTTCAGACCTGGTATCCAATCTAGTTTTTCAATGTGACTAAGCTTCACATAAGGGCAAACGTCACCAACAAATTTTGCGCGTATGACAGAATTTGGTTTATACAAAAACGGGCCCGATTAAAGACCATAACGTTCCAAGTCCGTACTCACGTTTTGGCAGAGAAGGCTCAAAACCATACCCTTTGGGGCAGCACCTACTTATACAATTAAAACAGTAAAATGCCCCTCCTCATCTGCAGGATGATATCTTGTGGATCACCCAGAAAACGTATCTTTACTTGGCTACCTTTTTGGTGGTCTATCTTTGAATGAGGTCAAGGACTCGTTTAAAGATCTTCCATTGGCCTGTTATTTTAATAATTTATCTTTATATTTATTTTTTTTAACTTTTGTAGCCAGTAGCCATTAGATTGTAATAAAAAATCAGCTCTCGTTACCGGCAGCTACTGTATCTTGACCCGCCGCGAAAAATGTCACCACTTCCGCTCGTATCGCTTCATCGGATAAGCCATTTCCGTCTTCATCCTGTGAAAAAAACCGGAAAGTCTCGAGCTCCTTGATAACCGGATTAAGAACATTTCCGCAAAAGAAGGGAAAAAAAGGATAATTACGGAAGTGAAGGCGGTTTTGATTACCTTAGCTGCAAGCACAATGTCAACCATATCCAGATGTTTCTTTCCATAGAAGCTCTCTTCCTGCAAGTGTTTAAGTTTATGCAAAAAAAATCACTTCTCAGAACAACACTGTTCGTACATTTGAGAGATTTCAAAGCGTAGTAAATGTTTTTATCTTGTAACTTGCTGGCTTTAGTAAAACATAGGCATGCTACGCATGCAGGAGTTATTTTTTTAAGATATGTGGGTTGAAATGGGACACTAAGTAACTGATGCTGGTGTCTGAATAATTGTTGGCAAAATTAAACTGTATTGGTACCACGTTTCCTGTAGTCCCTTCCACAGCCCTAATTTGAACTCGTCGCACGATGCTCTCTCTCCAACGTTGCATGACGAGACCAAACAACGGCCTGCTCGTAGGTTATAATTGTGCTTACTGCCTTCCTTCGTCAGAAACAAAGTCCTAATAATTACTCCGACTATAAAGGGCCAGAATCAGAAATTCCGTTTGGTTTTTCCTGTGCAGGAAAATGCACAATAGGCGTTACGCAGCAATTTTTAATTGGCGTAAAGCAATGTGGTGGACATAGCCTGGGACCGAGGCTAAGTTTTGGCATCGAGTGTAAGTCAGGCTTGAAGTGCTGGGCCGCGCATACTCATGTTTCGAGTGAACTTAAAAAAATTTAATAGAATACTGTGAATCACTTCTATTGTAAACGTACTGAGGAAAACAACAACCACTGCAACAGTAAAAGTTCATTGGCTGATTGTTTAAAATTTGATTAATTAATACAACTATCTTATATAAACATGGGCGATGGGATCCATTAGTAATTCACTATTATTAGCTACTACTGCGGACAAAAAAACTACACTTTTCAAAAAAAAATAAAAAAAAACTTGTGGAAGTCACTGCCACATACATTTAATTTCAATCGGTCAAAAAACTTAAGGTCCATGAAATGCCTTCTGTGATATATCGCTCTGAGGCAAAAAACTTCAGAGGTTTGTTGTCAGATGTAAGCGGGTGAAATCCTCGTAAACAAACTGAAGATCATCGCGTTCAAATGCAAATTTTTATTGAGCGACCCCGCATTTCCTTTAACGATTTTAGTATTTCCAAATCGTCATGAATGGCGTCAACTTGTTCCAAAGTTTTAATCTCCATAACTCTCCATGTTAACAAACAATGAAAAGTACTCAACAGCGATTTTGCTAAAACAGCACAGCCTTCAATTCGTTCCCTCTGAACCGCAAGTCCGGCCAGAATATAGGCCCTGTGTAGCCCCTTGTTCAATAACAGTTAGTTACCTCAAAATATTCGTCCATATGATTTCGCAGTGGAAAGCTCTACTTTATCTCTAACAGCCTCTGGATAAAAATATTTTCCGGTCTCTATTCTTGGAACGAGTGAAAATAGATTGAACGAAGAGAAAAGAATCATTTTGCAAATCATAACAACATGGGCTCCTTAATAATTGGTTGTTGGTCATCTGAAATTTGCCCTGTACGTTCGAAATAAGTGATTAAATGAAGGCTGTTTACAGGGAATTGACACGCAATGGGGTAAAGTCCAAGGAAGCTAATAGAGAATTTTATTGGTAGAAAACGTCTAAGCACGTCAGAGTTGCGTGGTAAATTGACTGACTGTACCATCATGTTCCTTGTGAAATGTTTTTCAATGAGGTAGAATTATGTCATAAAATTTACGTTCTTTATTGGAAAATGGTATTTCATCTAAAAAAGTCTAGTCTATACTGGCGAGTAAAAAGTAAACACGCAGTTGTAGAGGTAAAGTACCGCTTAAACAATATTTAATTCATGGAGAACTTTTAGAAGCAATGAAACGGATATTTAACATGGCAGTCGACGTAGTAAATGTAACTTGGTTGTCTTTTCAACCTTTGCAAAAATGTTTGCGCAAGTTTTACTTGAGTCAGCAGAACTAGCCCTTCCAAACCAACACTGAGCTCTTTTGCTAAATTCGTGTTAGACCTTTAGCTGACGGTGTGTGCGTCGTAAGTGAAGAAGCGGTACACAAAACATGCACGTTTTAACTTGCTAATGGTAGAAAAGTTCCCTGACGACCTTTCTAACCCCGACAGATCATATGCATAGCGATAAGTCCTTACGAAGGACACGAACCATTACGTTGAATAGATGAGCTCACAACTCTTGTAGATGTCATTCTTAACTCGTTTTTTGAGCGAAATTCAAAATGGAATCGCTGATTAACTCATATAGCAATGAAATATCCTAAAGTTGCTCCCATCAACATCTCAAGCAATATTTGATTCAAAATTTTTCTCATGTTCCACTCGTTCCCCTTTAGGATGAAGAATAACCATAGTCGCACAACGATCACAACTCCACCGCTTTCTCAACACGACTAATACGTTTTCTTAATTCGCGAACCGCTCTCCCCTAGTCACGCGTTGATTCGCTAAAATATGAAGACCTGTCAAACCACAAATTAGCAAGTACGCTCTGATTGGTGCGACATCGAAAAATACTACAATCTGATTGGTTTGTGATACACCAAAAAATTGCGCCAATCATATTGCTTTGAGATACACCAAAAAAAAGATGCGCCAATCAGATTGCTTAGAGATACACCAAATTGCGCTGATCAGATTTACACTACACCAAAACACACCACTCTATACGCTAACATATAATTATTTAAAAAAAAAAAATCAAAAATGATGTATCTGCAGTTAATGGACATGGAAATAATATTGTATGAAGACGACGCGAAGTGTAACTAGAATGTAATGTAATTAGCTGTAATAGAAAACAATAGAAAGCATAGTGATGTTAAAAAAATCGCGGTTTTGCAGTTCTGTGAGACAAAAAACAGGCGAGATCTCCTACCCTATAGTTCTTAGAAGTTGATCTTAAGCATTGATCACAAAGTAAATAATTTTTTTTTCACGTTTCATACGTTCTCCTGAAGAGCCTTCCGTCTGTTTCGTATTATTTCCTCAGCTTTACGATGGGCTGCGGTGCAGTGACGGTAAAACCTTCTTCCATCTTTTGTCCACCTGAAAATCCAGTCTGGGTGTAGCATGGGTGTACTGAAATAGGTTACAGATACGAAAGCAACCGACAATGTAACCCACTGTGCCAATAAGATGATAGAGGTGGGGGGGGGGGGGGGTAGTGGTACTGGTTTAATCTGTTACTGAAATTAAAGTTAGAGGGCCGGTTATTAACTCGAGGTCTGACTGAAACAACAGTTTTAAGCGATTAGTGGGCCTCGGGCTGTCTCTATTAAAGGGTTGATTTAATTAAATGAATTTCCTTCCGCTGTCAGCTTTTGGCCCTCTCGGTACTGTTCACAAAATGTTTAGATAAAAGGTCCAGCTGACTAAAGGATTAAGGGCTGATAGTTTCTAAAGAAACTGTTTGGGGCTGCGTCGGTGGGAGTAACGAAATAATTTGAATATATCAACAAAGTTGAAATGGTAAATTGGCCCCCGTTACGATTATAAAAGCTGACGTTTCGAGCGTTAGCCCTTCGTCGGATTGTTTAGGACGCGGTCTAGTTAGACAGCAGCTAAGCTATGCTTAAATAGCCGGCTGTATAAAGTTTGGTACTCACATCAGCCTTTTGATGAGGGCTTTGGAAATTTCAGTGACACTTCTTGTAAATGTATCTTGTGTTCTGTTCAAAAAGTACAAATTACTCCATAAATTTTGACAGCCTTTGCCAAATCAGGTAATAAAATGCTGATTTTAAGTGAACAATGTGGAACAATATCTAATTCACAGATATCCCTCATCTGCACGTCAAATGCCCTGCTTAAAGCTACAAATTAATTATGCATTTTCTACTAATCAATGTAGTTAGTTGCTTTAAATACCTAATTCTTTTCAAAAACTGTACATACATAGAGTTATGTGGACTGAGGAGACTACTTACAAATTTGTTTGACAATTACTTTGAAAACAAAAGGTGCACTTCAGAGTAGAGTCAAGTGCCATTAAGCCAATGTCATGAAAGCATTCCATTTTGAGTGGATTCTGAGACCACTTGTCCTGTAATTAAAATTCTTACTTCAATATTACATTAAAATTATATACTCATACATTTGTACTGAAGAACACGGTGCATTGAGCATTGAGCTGGGCAAAAAGGGAAATGAAATATATGAAGGGGAAGAAAACTATCCATTACAGCTAGGCCGATTTCCTGAACTTAGATAGTTGACTTTGTATGGGAAACAACAAATCAAAGTTTGCATTGGTCAAAGATTCAACAGACCCTTGACTTCAAAACGGGAACCCAAGTACAGAGGGGCATTACAGAATTTTGAAGCCAGTCTAATTTTTTTTCAAGAGGTTTGTTTGATAATTGTCATGGTAGCTAGCTTATAGATAGCCAAAAAAACTACTAACCAATAAGGTTTTGGTGGACTCTTGGAATATTTTTGTGTATGGCTTCAAGATTTCTGCATGAAAAGCTGGAGTCAAAAGCTTCCTCATTTGGTGCCATCTTTTTCCATTCACAATGTTGAGACTGTTTCCTAAATGCAGAAATTAGTGAGAGGTTCAGTCTCATTAAATAAATTTCAACTGGATTGTATAGAATGAAGTTGATGTATTAAGTAAGGGAGTAATGAAATCATAATTTTTAAATCTAACTCATGTACCCAAGCTATTACACAGGAACTGCATGTCTCTAGTGCCCAAACTAAGGCCTCAATGCCAAAAAAAAAATTATTTTTAAATGTACCCTCATAAGGTATGATCAAGGTGACAATGGCTAAATAATTATCTAATGCTGCTCATCCCTGCAGTAATAAGCTGTATTAGCATACACCTCTTAAAATGATATATTCTTTCTCTTGTTTGGATGAGGGTTTAACTGAGTAACTTTATGTTAATGAGGATTATCACCAGAACCATTACAAAGGCAAGGATAATTTTGAGGATAATAATTATATATTTTTTAATTATGAAATCATTCTGCAGTGCTATAATTTTACTATCAGCTTGTTCTCCAGAATGAGGTGCGGTAGCCTCTTGGTTAGTGCGCTCGACTCTGGATCAAGTGCTCCAGGTTCAAGCCCCGGCCGGGACATTGTGTTGTGTTCTTAGGCAAGACACTTTACTCTCACAGTGCCTCTCTTCACCCAGGTGTAAAAATGGGGGCGGGCAATTTAATGCTGGGGGTAACCCTTCGATGGACTGGCATCCCATCCAGGGGGGAGTAGAAATACTCCTAGTCGCTTCATGCTAAAGAAACCGGAGTTAAGCACCGGCCTAATGGGCCACTAGGCTTGTAAACAGACTTTACCTTTACCTTGTTCTCCAGAAGCACCATCAGCCAGCATTTTTACTGGCTCCTTGTTGCTGAGGTTCCCTCATATTAGGAACACACAGCAGGGTGATTCATAATCCTTTCTTGGGCAATTGGAAATTTCAAAAGAACAGGTTTTGTTTTTTTGGAGAACCTATTCTCTTCAAAGTTAGACTGTTACTATTTTGTCTGAATGGAACAATAAATTTACTGTGATCATCAATACACACTCTGAAAATTGTGTATGAAAGGCAATTAGTCTTTAATATATAGAGAGACCAATAAATTTAGTGATTGTTGAGAATTCTGTTTCATGAAGTGAAACAGAGTGGAAGATGGACTTTGGCTTTGGGGTTCATCTCTCTAAAGTTTACTAACTAATTCACTTTTTGATGTCCTCACCAGTGAATGGTACAACTAGACTGTACACAAATTCCTCCTTTGGGGTATGACTGGAGAGGACAGTCTTGATAGAGTCTGGGTGACAGAGGACCAGTGCTGATCGCAGGGGGCCAAACCACAGTGGGTAGGCTGTCTTATATTTTGTAGCACATTCCACATGAAATTTTAAACCATTACCATCAAAGGTTGCCTGAAATATCAAATAATTGAAAAGTTCTTTATCAGTATTTGGTAGGGTATATAGTCCTCCCAAGTTGTTTGCATCAGAGAGGATTCCCTTGGAATAATTTTCAAATGTTTTAAATGGGAAAGTGAATTCTTCGTTGAATTTTCTCTGCAAAATAATATATTTAAGAATTCCCTCATTTCTCTAGTACTTTTGTTATCTACTGCTTGTTTCAAACATCTCAGAAGGCTATAAACTGTCAACATACAATTAAGATCTTCTTTGGGACCCTAGTGCCATGAGTAGGTGTCTGGCAGGCTAAGTATCCTTCAACAATGTTGCTCAATTTGGCAGAGTAGCAATCTTCTGACATTCTAATAACTTAGCTCATAAATACCATTTTAGCAAACACCTTTACTTTGTGTTCCCTGTTCTGTGTATGGTCAGGTCTCAAATCGTAACCCCACTGATGAGACTCTGATACCCACAGAAGTCTTTGACAAGATTGTCCCATAGCTAAACCAAGAGTTTAATTTTGTAAATGTATGCGACAATGGTATGATTATGATATAGACTACCGTTTTTGCAGTAAAGTCAGGTATTAATATATCTTGATTAGTGATATAAAAAATCGACCACTTTGTCACCCATACAACTGTGAAGTGCAATATCACTGCAATTCAATTATTTAAGGAATATTCAAGAATCGTTTTCAGTTTTGAGTATCAATGACCTTGATTAATTGATACTCCAGTTCCTGAGGGCCACTATACATTCCATAGCCTCTCTTTGTAGCCATTGGTAATAAACTTGTGTGGTTGATGAGCACATCGCTAAAAACCTCGTTGTCATTGTATAATCCCGAAAAAGTTCAGAACATTTGGAAATATTCTAATTTTTCAAAATATTCTCAAACAAACATATTCTCATGTTACATTCAAATTTTAAACCAGTTTGGATCTTAAAAGTGAATCCTCAAAACAGTTTTTTCCTATTCTTAGAAAACATCTCGGATTCCGCAGCATAAAAGTTATAAATTGCATCGTAACAGTAAATATTGCCAAATATAATTTCAGTTTCAGAATTCTGTAGATGAAGAAAATAACTTTGAACGTGCGCACTTTTGTTTACTACCCATTCGTTAGTCATTATTTAATTTACTACAGCAAATATTTCAGGCAGAATAATGATACTTTTTCTTATAACATGTTGCTTTAGAATTTTCAGTAATGAATGGTACCAGTACTTACTCGATGGGTATGTCCTTTGAGCCAGTGAGATGGAGATCCTTCGAAATTCTTTACAGCATTTTGAGACTTTCGCATCATCACGAAACTCGTGAATAAAAAATGAGCCGAGCATGCGATAATCAACGAAGCAAAAAGAAGTAACAATGCGGAAAGTGGTACAGTTAATGCCTGTGTAAAGCCTTGAAAACCGGTGAAATCCAAAGAAAATGACATTTTCCGCACGAAATTAAGCTACCTTACATCGTTTTACAGTGACAATGCCCCAACATCACAGAGTAAATAAACTCACATTAGACTTTCAGATGAACTCTGCTCCCTTAAAGCTATATGGGACATGTGTACTAACCCATCACTCAGACATACACAGACGTAACATGAACGAAAGCAAAACCACAGCCGAGATGCATTTAGGGTGCCAGTCGTTTCCAGAATAATTCCGTTTCGTAAACAAACCAAAAGCATCCAAACAATATGTCCTCAACCCAAAATAAAATTTGATACGGATCAAGTTTTTCCATTAACGCATTAGTATATTGAGATCTCTAGCTCCACGCAAGCCATGTGGTTGTTAAAAATGTTCCTCACCTTACCGACTGCATGGTCATTTCCTCAGCCATTTTGACGACCACGGGTATCAACAGCTTGGGAATAGGGCGAGTTGAGAATTAAGGGGGCTATGTATGCGAGGGAGACGGTGGGTGATAATAAGAGGAAAAAGAAAGAAATTAACAGCTTGAAAAGACTTGCAAAGAAAAAGCCAAATATCTTCCTGACATTCGATTTTCAATTGAGAAAACGTGAGCCGTTTCAGTTGTTTAGGACAGGAAACTGTAAGACAAAAGGTTTCCAGGTCTCTTTCCGATAAGACCCTTCTTTCTTTTGTTTTGAGGTGCCTTTCGTGTCTAAATATATCTGAGATAATCCATCCTACACGAGTTCTAATACTAAATATGCTACGTGCGTAATTTCCTTCCACAAGAACATGCTCCTTCAATTTCCTCGATTTCTGTAATCTGCAGAGTCAGTATACTGAATCCTTAGAAACATTTATATTTTAAGGTCATCAAAATTGTATAAAAAGTTAATAACTCTTAAAAGAGTAAACAATTTTTCGGGGGTCAAACGTCTCCATTCAACATTCAAATCTTCCTAAACTTTCACATTTATCATCTGTTCAAAATTCTAATGCTTCGCCAAGTCGGTGGCCTCAACATTGAAAGCCCTATTAATTTTACAAACCTTTATTTTCTCTTTTTCTTTTTCGTGTTTCTCCCATCTCCTCTCGAGAATACGATTTTTCTTATCGACAGGTTTGAGTAACTCTATTAGATGACCCATTTTAGAGGTGCCAAAAGCCTCTGTCTGGTGGCTAGTTTCAAGCTGATAATGTTTTCCCTGGTACTGTTCTCGAAAATTAACGTGTAGCCTGAAACGGGCTTTAAAGGGATAGTTTACAACGAGACGGCTCATGGCCAGAATTCGATTACGACATGGCGTCCAAGCATACGCTCATAGTTCCTTTACTGGCATTTAAAAATGTCGGTCGTTCAAGTCTTCGCGGGGAGAAAACTCGCGGGGGGGGAGAAAGAAAACCTTTCAAAACTGCTCAAGTAAGAGGGAAAATTACTTACATGGAACGTCTGAAACTTGCATGCTACATCGTAAACCTGTGAACTCACTGTTCCATGTGATGTCCTCTTCGAGATTAGCTTTCCACGGCAAAATCAGAATAATCAGAAGAGACATTAGCTTTACTTTTTCTACATTTTTTTTCATCCCAAAGAAGGTCCGCAGAAAATATTATACATCTGAAGAACTAAACTGCGGCTCGAATACCCTGAACTCCGCTCACCGTTACTCGATGAAGGTAATCTGATGCGTTTTCCTCATGGCGTCACATTGAGGATTCCTCAGCAGTATTTGGGTTGTATTTTCACCTAGTTTGGAACCGATTTAGTGGCTTCAATGGCTCCAAATTTTGCATAATAAATGAAGTTTAGCATGGAAACAAAACAGCCTGATCTGGAAGAATGTTCCCGCGTACCTGTGAAGGGGGATGATTTTCGACAATTTAAGCTACCTTTGGACTGTTTTTAAGAGAAAGTATGGCGGAGTGGCGAGGATTTATGTGTCCAACAGAAATCGCTTCGGGAACCGTTTTACACGCAAATGTACATAAACCACGCAGCGAAAGGTTGTACAAACAGTCCACTTTATTTTGCGATTTGGAAGAACTTGTCTCTTCCGGCGGTAGTAATATAGGAGCAATTATTAAAAGAAGGTTAGCTGAAATGCGTACGTGTTTTCTTTGCAATGACTTTGCGACTCGATTGTAATCTAAGACCGAGTTCGACATCGATGCACGTCCGTGACGGCATGCTGTCACGGATTTCTGGCTAAAAATGAGAGACCTCTTAATTCTTCATTAACTAATTTAAAGCGAACGTTCGATTTTTTCCTACACTCTATTTAAATATAGAGGCAAGACCGATACAACGTAGATAAGTAAATTTTAAGACGGAGCACTATATTTCGGCTGGCCAAACCAGCCTTCTTCAGGTGCAGTGGGAATTAACAGAGAATTGGGGTGATGCTTCATAGATAGCTGTATGATGTAACAGCGGAAATATGTAAAACTAATTTGATTGACAATGAGATAACAATAAAAATAGAAATAGTGAGCAAAAATAGAAATGAAGTAAGGTAAATTGGATAAATAACTAGAAACTAATACATTTCTTCGCGAGCGTTAAGGCCATCTGGATAAATAGTGTTGCCTCTTGAAATTAAAAAAGCTTCCCTGGCCTTGCGTATCGAGTCTCTCTTGGAAAACACTTTTTCGATGGCGATTAGCTCCATGTCGTGAGCAGAGTGGTTAGGAGAGGAAATGAAGTGTTCTGCCGCTGTAGTAGGTTTAGATTTAGAGTTAGGTTTATCAATGGTACGGCGGTGTTCATTAAAACGGTCTTTTAAACGTCGTTTAGTTTCTCCTATGTATTGTAAGTTACAGCGGTTACACTGAATTAAGTAGATAAGGTTTTTAGTGTCACAGGTCAAGTGAGATTTAATGGGACGTGTTTCGCCGGTAGAAAAAAAGGTATAGTTAGTAAGACCGTCANGAGATTTATTAAAATTAGGACCGCTAATCAGGGCGTCAGCTGACCGCTTAAGAGTCAATTTAGCTGTCTGATTCTATTTTTCAGAATAATTAACAGATATCATCCCCTGCATTGCTATATTTTGGCCAAACAACCTGTAGGAGCTGTATGACATTGATCCGATTTCCATTTTCTTTAAAAGGTTTGAAGTCATATTCGTATAAATATTGCTGTTTTTTTATCTTGGTTTTTCGCAGCCCACTGACTTACGGCGAACTTTAATCAGTTTCACTTCAATTGTAATCCGCTTTTTTTGCATGATATTTGAACTAGCCTTGAAGGCAGCATCCACCAATCAAGGCGCGTAGAAAAACACAATCATTTTGTTGTTTCTCTGAAAGGAACATGATGTGTATCAACTTTGTCATTAAATAACCTCCCTAGCGGTCTCTTCTTTCCCAGCCTTGCCTAAGAATAATAATAATAATTATAATAATAATAATAATAATAATAATAATAATAATAAAAGAAAACCTGGTCAAGAAAATGGCTCCAAAAATAGTTCCAAATAGGATTAACAGTCCAACAGTCCAACAATCATTTGGTCCAGTCCATGTTTTAACCGATGCCCTGAGGGGGATTGCATAACTTAAAGTAATCATCTGGCTTCATTTTTAGCTTTGCGTCGTTTTTCATTCGAGGAACGTTCGAGTTCTTGTGATGAGAGTTTTAGAAGTATGAGATTTCTTGATCAAAATGTTCTGAGGCGTCTCTTTGCACGACAACTTTCCCTCTCTTTTGGAAATATTTTTGTTTTTGTTTGAGAATTTTAGCGAGCCAAACTCGCTAATTATCCTTTCCTGTAGCTGTGAACAGGATGACGTAAATTTCCTGATTCGAACTCCTTAATTAATTGATTAATTAATTTATGAGAATTTTCAGTTTGTCAGTTGTCAATTTAGCTGTCTGATTCAAATTTACAGAATAATCTGCTGATATTTATCCTCAATATTGTTTCTTTTTGACAAACAACAAGGAACGCTGTAACATATGTTTCCAGCAATCACCTTTGTCGTTAAATAACCTCCACTGACGGTCACTTCTTTACGATGGCAATTTTTTTCCGTTATCCCGGTGGAAGGTTCATGCAGTCATCATTATATAAAATTTCAACTTTTATCTTAAATGGCCATCTCTTTTCATCTTCAAAGTCCACCAGAGAGCACCCTAATCACAGAACTAACCTCTCTTCAACGGCCGGTTAATAAACAAAAGAAAGAACTCTAAATTGTTACATATGCCTCACAAACACTTTTCCATCACTATACATCGTCAAAGTCTAATGGAGAGCACCCTTATTATCAAACTAACCTCTCTACAACAGCCGGTTGAGAGAGAATGAAACGGACGAGCTTCCTTGGTTTAGAGATCTCTCCGCTACTATTTCTGGTGCTTTTCATCGAACAACACACCAACCAATGGAAGAACCATTGTGCTAATTCAAAGCAGGTCAAAGACAGTCTTTTCATTAGCGTAGACCTAGATATTCGCGAATATTTAGAAATCGGAATTTGCTTAACGGATTTGCGAGCACGAGAAGGAAAATTCGGTGTCGTGGCCGTTCCTACACGAATTAATCTTTGAGGGACGAAAATTATGCAAATCGACCCCTAGCGGATCCGATAACCATGACGTGAACACAGATTCAGCAAAGAAAAAACCAACAAACGAATGAGGCCCTCCTCATCCATCTTAACATAGACAGCCTGCAAAACAAATGTGATGGGATAAAGAGAACTTAGTAAACCACAGAAAATAGCATATGTTTGACTGACATGCGCACTTGCTCTACACAGATAAAAACTAAGATGTCCTTCGACAGTGATTCAGTTTTAGTGGCAGCAGCCCAAGCCTAACAAAGAGTTGGAAAGTCTAGTTTAAGAGAAAAAAAAAAAAACTACATTAATTGTGTACTTATACCTCTTGAATCTTTATGGTTTCTTCACTCAGCGGCAGCAATTCAGCTCTCTCCACGACAAAGCCTCAAGATCTGCATGGACTTCTGGCACTGCAATGGCAACCACCAGTCACAACTTCTCTGGGAAATCTACAGCACATTGCCAACTAGAGTTGTTCACTAAGTTTTTGGCAAGAACTTTTGCCATTGGCACAACTCGTAATGAGGCCAGAGGAAGGTGAAACATTTAATAAGGACATGGTCTAGAACATTCTGCGCCACTTTGAAGGATCACTGATAATTTGAGTATTTGAGAGGGGAAACATAAATCACTATGTTTTCCTATTATTGACAATTAGAAAAGTTGGCATTTGACACAAAGTGACACAGTTTAATTAGCTAGTTAGTAACAAATGAATTATCACTGTTTGCTTCCTGAATAATGTTTGTTCAATAGGATAAATGTACACACCATGTAGGATGTCTTGTATAGGATTCTAACAAAATTTATTTTGATAAATTGCCTGGGTACAGATGAAGGAAGCAGGTTTCTGAGCATATGCAATCATCTGATACTTATCATAAACCAATTTCTGCAGAAGCATTCATGACTTTGCATTTAGCTACATCTAGTAATTCATTTTCAAATGTTTGGGCCTGCAGGTCAACAAATTGATTTAAAACAGATGAAAGACTACAGATTGCGTATAATTATAAAAAAGAGCAAAACAAACAAAAGTAAAAAAAGAAACATGGACGAGGGTATGAATTCAAACTTAATATATTTTGCACACCACGAACTTCTATCATTGGTATTTAATAGATAAATAGGAAAACTTTGAAATTTGTTAAGTTTGTTTTCTGCATTTTATAACCTTAGCCATAGTCCTGGTTTATACCAGTCCAATATAAGAGGCAGTCCTCTTTCAAACCCAGTCCATGTTTTTTACTGACCACAAAATACTTAAATCATTAGCTGGTCATGACTTTTGTAAACTCAGTTAAATTGTTATAGAACCTCAAACAATATTTTGCAACCAAATTAAGATAACATATCATCATTGTTTTGCAAACTCTTACAGGTATTTGTTGTTACACAGTTTTTCTAATCTACTGGTTTAAATAGTCGTCTGTACATTATATCACTCTTTAATTGCCATCAACGTTGCCTGCTACAACTTTTTTGGCTACGTTCTCAACTTTTTCAGGAAAGACAAATTTGAAGACAAATCAAGTCTTTGAAAATTCTTGAACAGTTCTATCATATCTTATCAATAATAAGTAAGATACTATGCATGTACTATGAGAAAACTAGTTTCCAAGAATGTTGAAGGATGTATACCCAAAAAGCATGACACCTGTCAAGAATGTGACTGTATTAATATATTATTTTCCACACAAAATAATATATTTAAGAATTCCTTAATTCCTCTTACCAATACTTTTGTTTTCTACTGCTTGGATTTTAAAGCATCTCAGAAGGCTATATAATGAAATATCATCTTTTTTGGGACCCTAGTGCTAAGTAGGTGTTTGGTATTAGCTTCTAATTCCAACCATGTTGCATAATGTGGCAGAAAGGAAATCTTCAGACGTTCCACTTACTTACTTCGAAAATGCCATTTTATCAGATACCTTCACTTTGTGTCCTCTGTTATGTGTATGGAGGTCTCAAATACCCACGGACGTCTCTTGCAAGATCATCCCAACGCTTCAAAACCAGGAGTTTAATTTTGATAATGTATGTGAAAATGGTATGAATATGATGTAGATTGCCTCTTTAGGTGTTTTTACAGTAAAGTTACGTATCTAAGTAGCTCAGCTATTCATATTAAAAATCGACCACTTTGTCACTCATAGAGCTGTGAAGTGGGATATCACTACAGTAATTCAAACATTTAAGGAATATTCAAGGAAGAATTGCTTTCAGTTTTGAGTATTAATGACCTCTATTAATTGATGCTCAAGTGCATTAGAGCCACTAGTATAATTTCAGAGCTGAACAAAGAGTTTCCAGCAATCTGATTGGTCGAGCGGTTCCTTATATGACGCTATATAAACCACTCCACGCGGTTTATATAAAATGTTAAACTAAAATGTTAATAAATGTTACTAAAATGTTATGATTTTAGAAATTTCTCTGTTGTTCAGCTCTGAAATTATACCAAAACAATTATTCGCATCAGGTTCGGGGAATATTGTCGAATAATTCGACGATATTCAACTCGCCTTCGGCGAATAATTGTTAATTATACATTCCATAGCCTCTACTTGTGGTCATTAGTAATAAACTTACGTGGTTGATAAGGATTTTAAGGATTTAATAACTAGGTTTTAAAAAACCTAGATATTAAATCCTTAAAACAGTTTTTTTGTTCTCTTAGAAAACATCCGCGGCATAACAGTCGCACTTAAAGGTGTTTTCTTTTTTATTTTTGTCTAACGACGTTGTTATCTTCTCTTTTAAGCGGTCGACATTTTTTTGGAATCGCGGGGGTGATCTGTAGCACGACTCGATTTAACACTTTACAAAGTACGCTAGTACTCTACGACTTATTCTCACTTGGCTCATTCCATCGCGTGACGTCGTCCGTGGCATGACTTTGTCCGTAGTGAGATTTTGTTCGTCGCGTGACTTTGTCCGTTATGTGACTTTGTTCATCGTGTGACCCTCCATCATTGTGTTAGTCACTCCAACGCTGAATTCAATTTATTCGTCTCTCCGTGAGTCAGTTTCGATTTTTTCCATTTACATTATAGAGTAATGTTCTAAAATACTCCAGAACTTTCCAAGGACTTCCGTTATGTACCCTACCATGCATCGGTCAAGCTGAAAATAGAAAAATAGGCCGGGTTTTATTAAAATCACTCACCAGTCTTCAAACTGAATTGCGAGAATTTACATCAAATTGTAGAAAAAATCGTACAAAGCGTAAAAAACTTATCTACTAATTTATACTTAGTGTAAAAAGTGTAAAAATTCATTTAATTATTTAATTATACATGAGTTCGTTGCTACACCTGTAAATAAATGAGTCAGCCAGTCTCTTCGTTTCGGTGGATGGCAGGTGATATTTTCGTTTCTTTCTGAGGTTGTCTGCTGGCTTATTGGAGGTTGGAAGCTGTTTTATAAATAGAACATGATAGAATCATAACGAATGCTCCAGACTATCAGGCATATTTATATATATGTGGGGGCTTACATTAAGCTATTGTTGTTTTCACTCGATAAGCTCTCAATAAAGGTGCTTTGCAGACTACAAGAGACTGCTTTCACCCTTAGTAAGAACTAAACCGACGAGTATTCATTTGAATTGATGGGCCAAACAGATATCAGGCGAAAATTACCTTCATAAAAAATAAATAAAGATGCACGCCGCACATGCGCTTTAAGAGAGGAACAACCATGTGATATTTTCCAGCTTATAATTTGTTATGATAGTTTCTATTAAAAGAATGTGCTACAGTTAGCAACAATCTATTTTACAGAAAGCAACATGTTATTTACCCCGTAAGGCCGTGGACAATAATCAGTGATTTGCATCGGAATAAAACGATGCTATAGTATCTTGCACCCATCCTGCAATCAAGGTAAGCATTGATTACGTCTAGCTAAATGAAGTACTATGTTTGAAAGTAAATTCTACGTCCACTGCGTTTCCGTGGTTTGCTTCCTTTGGTTCGCTTCCCCATATTAGTAAGAGTTGCATAATACACTTGTTCAAGTTTTTGCACAGATCTGTTTGCTTTTTGCTCAAATCTGTTTGCTTTTTGCATAGATTTGTTAAATTTGTTTGTTTGTTTTTTAAAATGTCCTAATCGGTTTTCCGTTCATCACTTGTTTAAACTCACGTAGAGAAGCGAAAGTAAACAATACCATGGAAGTAAGTCTTTTTAACATAGGAACAATATGTCAGTAATAAACTACAGTAACTATGCTTTTTTCTACGTCGTATTGTTAAGTGAAACAGGAAGGTTCACAGGCTACTTCATTATGTTAAACCAGAGACCTAATGAGGCCGCTGGCGCCCATGATTTATTTTGAAATTTTATTGCGGATGGGGCCACTTCCGCTTCAGCGGCTTGAACAAGTTAAAACAGGAAAATATAGTCACACAAACCAAATGCAAATGGTCTACTGTTTTTTCTTGAAAAGCGAGTTGAAAACTGTAAAACCTAACCTTTCTTTCTATGGAAGATTTTGTTCCCTTTTGATGGCATTTAGGAACATAACAACTCGTAGGCTTCGCGAGATCGAAAGCGACACATCACAGAGCCTCGATTTCAAAACAAAACCCAAGGCTTGACAAGCCTCGCTTTGGAGAAACCGGTCAATTGTCATCAGAAGGTCGTGACGCCGCGTTCGTTTGCGTGACTTTTAAATTCTACCAGCGTTCCTCGTGTTTAGATGAGGCTAATGTAAACACGGAAAAAGTCCTCACATTCATGAAATATTTTCCTCTAATGATATGAAGAAAATGTTAATTGTTTACTTTTTGATTGATATAGATTTTCTTAATACACACTGTATTTAAAATGCCGAAATGTTTCAATTATACGACTTTTATAGGAAAGAACTTCAAGAGGAGGAGTTTGATTCATCTGAAAATGAATGCTGGTATGGTTGTTCGTTTTTAAAAGCGACAAAACTTGTCCTATTTGGCTCATTGTACGTTATGTAGCACGTGGTTCGTTGTAAAGGTCTTGTGACTTTTAACTTTCATCCAGCCGAAAAAATCAAATCAACTGTCAAAATGAATCAGTCAGTTCACAAATAATTCAATCTTCATCATTTAGGACACAGTAGACCTTCGCGCTATTTGAGGCGTAACGACCATAAACAATATATCAGTGGAAAGGCTATAAAGTGCTCTATTGGGCAAAAATCATTTCGTTTTAGCTTGATGTGATAGTAAGCCGAATGGGGCGCGACAATCCGAAATGGACGATGTTTCTTTGAGCGAATTGATCGCATATCAAATCTGACCGCACAAGTAATTCTCCACAATTTCAGTCCTGCGGGGTTAGTCTTCAAAACCGTGTAGGGATTTTTCGATATACTCATTGGTTGCTTTGCAATTTAGCTGTAAAGCTTCCTGATCAAAACTTTACCAATATGCCCTTCGTCGGAGGACATTGCGGAAGATCCATTTTGAAAAACGGAATTCTCCCACACGGCTTTTTAAGTTGGTATCTTAGGTGTCTTTGGACCAGATTTCTTGGAGATCCATAAAGTTTACATACTTTACTTATTATTTCGTTCAAAGAAGGCACATTCGCGTAAAAAAAGGTCTTTTGCTTCCAAAGTTTTCCCAACACACGCCTTTGGGAGATCCATAAAGTTTACATACTTTACTTATTATTTCGTTCAAAGAAGGCACATTCGCGTAAAAAAGGTCTTTTGCTTCCAAAGTTTTCCAAACTCACGCCTTTGGATGACCACATGTCATGTCATGTCAAAACTTTGAAAATCTCTAAATGCCGCCCGCCAATAGAACACAGAAGCTTCTTGCAGCAAAGACATATTTTGTGGTTAACTTTCTAATTCCCTTGAGACTAAATGGAGAAAAGTCTATTTTGACAACTCAAAAATCTGTCAAAATCCTGTCATCAGTTGATGGCACCAAGTGCAGCCTATTACATGTCTCTTCGCAGACAAAAACTTGTCCACGGGGACAAATCTTCAAAAGTCCGTCATACTGCCTTAGAGCAGGACTTTCTCCGAACAATAAACATTCTATGTTTTTTCTTTTTTTACCAAATTATCAATCAATTCATTGAACCTTGAAAAAAATCCTCGTTTCACCTTTTAGTCCTCGTTTCAAATACTGTTCCGGCGATTTAACGAGGATTCAGGACGAAGAGTACGTTCAATTTTAGCATGATTTAATTACGCAACGAACTACACGACAAACTCTAAACAGAATGGCGAGAGTAAAACAAACAAAACAAACGAAACCGCATGCCACACAGCAATGTCACGTGCACGAGTTTTGGCGCGAACATCCTCCCCCCCGTGTTCGACGGCGGGGCGAAGCGGCGGACGCTACTTTGTACCTTCGAGTAAACATAGTTTAACTGCAGGTCGAGTGTAAACACCACTCTCAGTACGAACTTCTGCTGTTCTGACTCTTCCATCGTCTCCAGGAAACACTCTAATCGCTCGTGCTAACGGCCAACACCCACGAGTGGACTTCTAGTCGACGACGAGTACAAGGTCTTCTTCACGGACATTACGAGCTTCGTTTCTCCACTGTCGGCGCTCCGTCAGTGCTGGCAGATATTCTTGGAGCCAGCGTTTCCAGAAGTGTTGGGTCATTACTTGTGCATGCTTCCATGTCCGACGACAACACACGTCTTCGTCACTGACGACATCTGGTGGAAAGTTAGGGCTTCTTCGTCCAAGCAGAAGTGATTTGGCGTTAAAGCTTCTTCATCACGGTGATCGGGACTAACATGGGTCAAAGGGCGACCGTTCATTAATGACTCCACTTCAGCCATAAATGTGAGTAACGTTTCGTCGTTGACGCACTGCTTTCCCGCCACCGCTTTTAGTGCTCTTTTGGCAGACTGAACGAGGCGTTCCCACGCGCCACCGAAATGTGGCGAAGACGGAGGGTTGAAGTGCCACTGCACTTCGTTATCAGACAGCTGATCACCGATTCGTTTGCTGCCAAGGCGTTTGATCGCTTCTCGGAGCTCATTCTCGGCTTCTACAAAGTTAGTGCCGTTATCCGACCGAATATGGGCTGGCTTTCCACGTCTGGTTATCATCCTTCTTATAGCCATCAAGCAAGAATCAGTATCCAGCGAGTGAGCAATTTCGAGATGCACCGCGCGAGTAGTCAGACACGTAAAGAGCACTCCGTAGCGCTTTTCAGTCTTTCTCCCGTGACGCACAAGCATGGGACCAAAATAATCAACTCCAGTATTTATAAAAGGCGGTTGCATTTATCCCAGTCTCGAGTCAGATAGATCAGCCATGACAGGAGGCTCGGGTCTCACTCGCAGTCCACGACATGAGGGACAACCAGATGTAATCTTCTGAACTGTAGCTAGTCCTTTCAGGATCCAATACTTCTGCCTTAGCTCGTTCAACACATGCTTGTTACTTGTACAGTACAAACGAAGATGGTGATGCATTACGATTAGACGCGTGATTTCGTGCTTCGGGTCCAATGTCAAAGGATGTCGTGACTGTTCAGGAAGAGGAGCTTTACGTAGACGGCCATCTACTCTCAAACATTCTACTTCGTCTACATAGGGGTCGAGTGCACCGAGTCTGCTCTTTACTGGTAGTCGCTTGTTTGACTTCAACGCCCCAAAGTCTAAATGAAACGAGTCCATTTGACCTTTTCGTACGGCGATCATCTCTGCGTTTTGGAGTTCCACAGCGGTCAGGGATGACAGAACGCGGTCCTCGGGTTTTCTTTTACAATTTTGGACGAAAAGACAAATCCACGCGACGACACGACGAAATCTTGTCCAAGAGGAGAACTTCCCTGGGTCTTGAAAATACGCTCTCGTATCGCTAACAGACACAAGCCCGGACCACTTGGTGTTCTTTACTTCCTTGTCATTTTCACAGAGGGGTCCAGGAAACAAACTCCGTGGCCGGTGCTCTTCAGCTTTGGACAAAAAGGCGGGGCCGTTAAACCATCGGCAACGCTGATCCAAGTCTGCAACTCGGAGACCTCGGGTGCAATCGTCGGCCGGGTTAGAATGACCGGGAATATGTCTCCACTGTGTGGGGTTGGTTGAGTCGTGAATCTCTGAGACCCGATTAGCCACGAATGTGTGAAAGCGTCGGCTTTCATTAGCTATGTATTGCAACACGGTTTTGGAGTCACTCCAAAAAACGGTGTCTTCAATGCTAACAGACAACTCTCGTTTGATCACGCAGCATAACCTTACGGCTAAGACAGCGGCTTGAAGCTCTAGTCGAGGTATGCTTAACTGTTTCAGTGGTGAGACGCGGTTCCTCGCCATAACAAACGAAAATTTAATCGTGCCGTCAGGGAGTAGGTATCTAGCATAGCAAACGGCGCCAAATCCCATTTCGGATGCGTCGGCGAACACGTGAAGTTGTACCGACGCTTCAGGACAGGCATTAACACAGAAACAACGAGGCAGTTCAAATTCACTTAGTTTCGTCAGGTCATCAAGCCATTCGTCCCAAGTACTCTGGTCTTCTTCGTCTTAAGGCTCGTCCCAGCCCTTATTCTTACGCCACAACGACTGGAATAGGCATTTCGCGGGCAGTATGTACGGAGCTAGCGCTCCCAATGGATCGAAAACGGTTGATATGCGGCTTAGGACGCCACGCTTGGTTGACTCAGGAGTCTGACGTGAGCAAACAGAGAAACGAAAACAGTCAGTTTCAGTGTTCCAGTTTAAGCTCAGTGTGCGTTCAATTGGCAATTCATCAAAGTTCAAATCGACTGAAGGGCTTGCTTTCTCTCGGTCAGGGATCTGGGACAAGACTTCACGGGAGGAGCTGATCCACTTGGTCAGCCTGAAACCGCCGCGTGCCAAGAGAGAGGTCATCTCATGGAACATTCGCACTGCGGTAGCTTCGTCACACACAGATTTCAAGAAGTCATCCATGTAGAAATTCTTCTCTACTGCCTCGAAAGTTTCGGTGGAAAATGCAGTGCCTCCATAATTGTCAAGAGCTGTCCTTCTCAATACGTAGTTTGCCGTGCACGGTGAGGACGCAGCTCCGAAAATCATGACGAGCATCTGATATACATCAGGCGGGCGCTGCACTTCCAAGTTCCGCCACAGGAACCTCAGGGCGGGTTGATCTTCTTCTATAATTCGAACCTGGTGAAACATGGCTTCGATGTCAGCGGCCAAGCCAAGGCGCTGCTCTCTAAACCGCAACAGCACACCCACTAGGCTATTCAGAAGATCGGGCTCAACGCGAAGTTTGTCATTAAGTGATACTCCATCATGCTTGGCGGCAGCGTCCATAACGATTCGGACTTTGTCTGGCTTGTTGGGATTGCGGACCATATGGTGCGGCAAAAACCACTGTTTCGGAGTGGGACAGATGCTTCGTCGGGTGTAAGCTTTCGGGCGTAGCCTTTGTCAACATAGTCGTCAATAATGGCACAATATTTCTTTGCAAGTTCTTCGTCACAGTTTAGTTTCCTTTCAGTAGACTCCAGTCGCTTTTCTGCCATGAGGCGGTTGTCAGGAAACTTGACGTCTTGTTCGTTCCACAACATTCCGGCTTCATACCCGTCAGACACATGTTTCACAGTTCTCTCTAACGTTTCAAGAGCCCTTTTGTCTTCGCGAGAACGGGGTGTTGCGTCTTCATACTTTGTACCAGATGATTCCGTTTGCCACCAGTCTTCTACTTACTTGCTCAATGATTCGTCAACGTTCACGACACGGTGCACCTGCATGACATGTAGACGCTCGGGTTTCACGACTGAATTGACTGAGCCAGCAAGGGTCCAGCCAAAGGCTGTGAGAATGGCGACCGGCTGTCCCGAACGACCTCTTCGTACATCATGCTGTAGTATCGCCTCCAAAACATTCGCTCCCAGCAAAATTGTCACGTGTTTGGAATCGACTTCGGGGATACTCAGATCTGTCAGGTGATGGAAGTCCTGCATCATGGTACGTGTAACCCTTTGCGGGGGCAGGTTCAACTGTGGTACGGTCCAAGCTTCGTCTACGGCCAACTGGGTGTCTGTTTATGTTTCTTCAACTGCACCGACGTGGAATGACACCTTTCTCGAACGTACTGGTTCACCAGACGAGTTAATTGTGCCAAGTTGTAGAGGGCTATCTTCACCAACGAGACCAATAGCGTCAGCAAAGTTTTCTAAGATGTGCGAAGTTTGGCTGCCGGAGTCCAGAAGTGCAAACGTGTCTGCTCTCACGCCTTTGGGAGTCACAACGGCAACGGGTACTATTTGCAGCAGAACTGCGGAGGGAACTCCATTCACAGACGAAGTACCAACGAAGACGGGTGCCGCGACGTTCAACGGCGGAATGGGTATGGTACTGTCCGAAGGTGGCCTTCCAACGAAAACTGGCGCTGCCCCGTGGATGAGCGGGTGGTGGTATTTGTTACAGCCTTGTATGTCACATCGTTTTTTGCGCGTACAGTCACGAGATCGGTGACCTGTTGACTCGAAGCAGCAAAAGCACAACTTTTTTTCCTTGCCTAACTGAGCTCTCTGATTCACATCCATCGCGAGAAATTTGTCACACTTCTCAATCCAGTGCTTCTCATCGCACACCATGCAGGTCTTAGCTGCGGGTGAGCTTCGATTCTCTGTCATAGCACCTGTAGCTAGGGTTGAGAATAGGTAAGGTTGTTCTTGACGGTTTTCGACGCGTAGATCCCTTCGCGGCGGTCCTTTATTGCCAGTACGACCATTCTTTGGTGGCTTGCCTAAGCTAGGTGGCAGCTCACTGACTAAGGTCTTGGCGCGTAGTCTCGTACGAAGCCATTCATCAAGGTCAACTAATGTAGGAATGGTGGGGTGCATTTCAACCTTCTTCTCTCCCCTCTTTTCCTTTAACGAGTCGCGCAATTTCTGTAATGCGGCACGGGTGTTCGTTGAAGACGCTAAATCGTGTGAGTATCCCAGGCTCTTCATCGTGGTGACGGCATTGTGGAGTGTGTTGTACAACGAACGGAGTTGTATGGTGTCTCCGTCAACAACGATTGGGTGGTCGAGTACTGTCCTCATGAAGGCTCCAGCAACGAGTTCCTCATTTCCAAACTGTTCTTCAAGTTCCGTCAGAGCTGCTTTGTAGAGATGGCCATGGTTGAGCATTCCTCCAATAGCTTTCTTCGCATTCCCAACCAAAGCCCTTTGGAGGTAAGTCATTCGCTGCGTATCAGTGAGTGGTTGGTCATGAACTAAACATTTGAATAATGATATGAATTGGGGCCACTCGAGCGGATCCCCTGAAAACCGTGGTAAGTCTAAACGCGGTATCGATTTTACGAACGCTGGCGTTAACTCTGAGTTTGTCTCTCCCTTTAGTGTACTCTGCTTAGGCGAGAGTGCCTTAATCCATGAAACATCAAAGCGTTCCTCCGTGTCACAGTGATCTTGATTGATCTGGGGAGTCTCTTTGCACAACGTGGACGATTTAACCGGGGGCGGCAGTTTTACATTTCACGAAGGCAAAAGACCACCTGGATTTTCGTCAATATCCATATTTACAAGAACTTTGGGCTCGATTTCTCGGTAGACGGTTCCAGTTTCGACATCTTCAAAATCCGTCAGACGGTTTTCGATATTTTCTGGGCCCCTTGTCTCTTTATCCTGGATGCTAAGCTGAGCTTCTAGTCGTAATCTTTCGGCTTGATATTCAAGTTCTCGAATACGACGGTGTTCGTGCAATCGTCTTTCTTATTCAAGAATTTCGGCCCGCTTACGCTCCTCTTCTAACCGCTGCTGTGCTTCCCTTTTTGCCTGTTCGATTTGCAGATCCATCACGCGCGCGAGTCTTCCGTTCTCCGAG